TGTTTGTCCTTCATGAGTTCTTACCGTCTTTGCTCCATCATACATATCTTTTTTAGCTTGGATATATGCTACTCGTCCTCATTTCTTCTCTAAAATCCTCCAAATAATGTCTCTTGGGATCCTATCATATGCTTTTTCCAAATCTATAAAGATCATGTGTAAATCCTTTTTCCTATCTCTGTATCTTTCCATCAATCTTCGTAAGAAATAGATTGCCTCCATGGTTGAGTGCCTTGGCATGGACTCAAATTGGTTGTCCGAACCCATGTCTCTTGCCTCAATCTATGCTCAATGGATGGAATGTTTGCAAAGAAATCTGTTTTCATTATTGGGGCTACCAAAAGACTGGACATTAAAGACCCTGCACTTCTGCGTCTAGGCCGTCTGGATCAGTATATTTACCCTCTCCCTAATAAGGAATCTCGCTATCAAGTATTCCAGTCTTGCTTAAGGAAGTCTCCAATTTTTTAAAGATGTGGACAACAGAGCCTTTGCCAAGTACACTGTCGGTTTTAATGGTGCAGATATAATGGAAATATGCTAGCGTGCTGAGAGAACATTGAGAATGATATTGAGAGGGAGATGAGGAGAAATCAGAATCCTGAGGCAATGGAGGAGGACGTTATTGATGAAGTAGCAGAGATCAAGGCAACTCATTTTGAGGAATTGATGAAGTATGCTCGTAGGAGTGTTAGTGATGCTGATATCTACAAGTACCAGGCATTTGCGCAGACACTGCAGCAATCAAAAGGGCTTGGAACATTTTTCAAGTTTGCAAACGATGCTTCCAGTGGAGGTGCTACTTCTGGGGCTGGTGAAGATTACCCTTACAATGTATAGTTTCATGATAAGCAAATTTTTCATTCTTTAAATTCCAGCTTTTCATTTTGTATTACATCAATAGTACAACCGTAGAAGTGTCCATTTAATGATCATTGTACCCAAAATTATGATCATATTACTCAAATAAATGTTGAATTAGTTGAAAGCATAGTACATGATTTGCTTTCATCGTTTTTTATTTAAACCCTTTTGCTTGTTTCTGTTCTTTCTTTCTTTTCATGTTTCTGCAATAATCGCATTTGCAGGTATGTTCTTCTGCAAAACGAAATAAATGGTGATTAAATCATCTAAAGCAATAGAAGACACCATCAATTGAAAAATAATGGTTACTTCTTCTAGAGATTGATTTCAAGCAATGTTTCTGACAAATGAGCCAAAACTTTGAGGTAATGGACGTTATAGTTTCAAAATCAAACCATAAAGGACATATTTTTTACTCAATTTCTCACATCAAGCACAACTTGTAATCGTCCAGGTGGTACTGGTAAACAGGTGTATTTTTGTGTGTATTCATTTTGTTCGGAATGAAATGATCTTATTACTAGTAGCCATAGAATTTAATAACCAATATGTTATCCTGCACAAATAGCCATATCCTACCAGGTGATATTTCTTTCTGATGTTAGAAGAGGTTTCAAGCTCGAACCCCCTTTCCCTGTTAATAAAAGAAAACTTATTAGTTTAGTATGCCATTATCAAATATAAAGGAACATGACGTGTGAAGAAAGTTGGGATTCCACCATAAGACCAATTGGCAATATGGAGAGTAGCCTAACCTCTTATAAGTTCATGCAAAGTCCCTCATCCCATCAATATGGGACTCATTCTCAACACGCCCTCTCACGCGTGGCTAGTTTTTAAGCCTAACACATGGACAACACAACGGGATGACGTGGAGCATGTAACAACCCATCCTGATTTTTATTTAAGAATTTTAGAACGAGGGCATTTTGGACATTTCATGCCTGAGAGATATTTTGAGTTTGCTTTTGGGTCTTGTTTAGTGTGCCCAAGGGGCCCACCCTTGATTTTGTCCCCCGGCCCAAAACACTTGCCCCCTCTCTCTCTCTCTTTCTCTCCCTTACTTTTCTCGCTTTCTCTCTGTGTTTTCCCCGAGCTCTCTCTCACAACTTACTTTCTCCATCTCTTTCCCTCGCTGCATCCCTTTCCCCCGAGCACCAAACACCCAAGAAACCACGACAAACGACGACACCACCTCCACCGTGATGGGCCTCTCTCTCTCTTTCCTCTATGAAGCATAGAGAACCCAATAATTTTCTTTGGCGATGAACCGCAGTTCACTTGGATTTCCCAACCACTTCTATGCCGCCGCTGGGCCTAAAAATGGTATGTTTCATTTCCCATCACTCGTAGTTTCATTTCCTTGGTTTAATCGCCAACTATGGTTAAGAATCGGAGTCGATCGGAGCTTGGAAAGCTTCGGCCTTCTTCTTCTTCGAAACCAGGTCAAAACGACCCACACCCGGAAACCCAGTTATTTCCCAGCCTAAATCCTCGGGCCAAGCTACCAAGGCAAACCCAAATGAACCCAACCCAGTTGTTAAGCCCAAACCCAATATCACTCAAGCTTTTGGGCCGTGCAAACCCAAGCCTTCTGCCCAAGGAACCCAGGTCCAAACCCATTTGTTAACCCAACCCAAAAACCCTTGGGCCTGCCCAGAACTAAACCCAAGCCCAACTGGGAACTAGAAGCCCAGGCCTAAACCCAGTCGGAGCCCAGATCCCAGTCGGAGCGTGGGTCCGCACATAGACCTGCGCGTGGGTGCCCGCCTGTGTCGGCATATAGAGCACACGCACCTTCACCAAAGGCACTATGCTTCGCCGTCCATGACAACTTTTCTAGTGAACTTTCCGGCAACCCATCTTGGCTTGTGGCCATTGGGGCCGCCACTTTACGACGGCATGTGGAGTACCCGAGGTCCTTATGTTTTTCGACATCCTGAATCCGTTTATGACGTCTATTTTCCAAAATTCAATTGTTTGAGTAGAGTTTTATCAATTGGACCCTTTATGTGCTAGGTGCATTTACTATTAGAAATGCATAAATGAAAAACATGATTTAATGGTTACATTTTATGAAACATTTTATGAGTAAATTAGATTTTACTTTTTATGAGATATGATGCTTTACTGAGAATATTTTGGAATACCATGCTTTATTGATTTCATGTTCTTGGTAGTATATATGATGGATGACTATATACTATGAAGATGTTTTGAGATATGATGTTTGAGCTACGGAGCTCCGTTGAGATATATGTACTTATGTTGGAAAGATTATATTCAATGTTTTTGTGCTTATCTAGTGGTCACTGTTCTACCTATAGGCAAGCGTATGTTCAGCCTATAGGGGGCGTATGTTCAGCCTGCGGGCGTATGTTCTGTCTACGGGCATATGTCCTACCTTCGGGAGATCATTATACCACTATTTAGCACACTATATAATGATATATGTTTTATGAAAGGTTTTATGGCATGCTAGGGCTTTCGGAAAACCTATCACATATTATGTTATTAGTTTTCATAAACTTTGGGGGTTAGTACATTATGGAATAACTATGTTTGTACTACTTATATATCAACTTGGTCCACTCATGTTTTGTTTTGCGCCCCCTCATGACTTAGAATAGAGACATACAATCCCAGAGTCAAGGCACTCCCGCATCGGTACCTTCAAGTCCTCTCGGTGTAGAACCCATTCCTTGTTCATTAAATTATATATGATTTCTTTTTAGTGTTCTAGATTAGTTGTATGCTCTGAACACGTTCCTCAATTGCATAATCATTGTATTTAAATTTATAAGTCTTATTTATATTCATTGGTTCTCATGCATATTAGTATGGTTTCGTCACCTTCGGATGTCGGCCAATACGTGCCTACCCTGGTGATCAGAGGATATAAGGGTCGAGAGTGTCAGAGCACATGTGGCCGCTTGGCTTCACACATAGGACAACTTGCTCTGATACCATAAAGAAAGTTGGGGTTCTACCATAAAACCATTTGGTAATATGGGGAGTAGCCTAACCTCTTATAAGTCTATGCAAAGTACTTCCTTCCAACAATATGGGACTCATTCTTAACACGTGTATATGTACTGACCTCAAGTCTGCACAGAACAGTAGTGTAAAAATATTATGCCAAAGCAAAAATGGTAGGGTTTCGGAATGTGCCTGCCCATCCAATACATGGTTGGCCCTCTTTGACGCTACCATTTGCTGAGTTCCTTTTTAGATTCTCTAGATATGTAGCTACAAACTAGAGAATATATAACGTGGCATCCCTAAAGGCTTAAGGCCTAAGCCTTTAGCTTTTGGCAGAGTCTACCCCTAATTCCCGAGGTATTTCCCTACCCCATTCAACCAAGTTACAAAAAATGAAGGGAATGAAATTACACACATGCTTTTTATTCAGCTTATGCACTCATGCCCTTTCAAGCTCGACTCTCCGGAGCTTCTTCGAGTTAGAATTTGAAGATGTACACGGACGGGAAATTCATGGTAAGAGATTTGTAGAAAAAGGTATGTAGGCTAAAAATATATTGATACGTGAATGTGGAAAAAATGGAAGAGAATGCTTTTTTTCTCATTATCTTTCTCTACAAGATTACAAGGATATATATACATGATACAAGTGTGTAGATAGGACAAGGTAGCCGTCCTAGTGTGTAGGTAGGACAAGGTAGGACGGCTGTAGGACGACTTGACGGTTGTAGGACGGCTAGTGTGTAGGTAGGACAAGGTAGGACGGCTGTAGGACGGCTTGATGGCTGTAGGACGGCTAGTGTGTAGGTAGGACAAGGTAGGACGGTTGTAGGACGGCTTGACGGCTGTAGGACGGCTAGTATATTCCTTATTTGTCTAACAAGATTTGACCGACTTATTATTTTAACCGATTGATCTTTCGAACCACTAAATAATGTTGCAGTGAATATTCTGAAGTAGTGAGGCATGCTGGTGTTGGTGGCTCAATCGAACCATATTGCGAAAAACATGAAACGAATGATTCAAGGAAGATCCAAAGAGGGAAAGGGGTTGGTTCAAATATTGCTCATCAGTGCCCAAAAAGTAGGGCAACACCGATGATTGGAAGGTCCCAGCAGCCCTTCCTGTTGACCAAAACCATGTTGCAAGTAACCTTTCCTTTGTTTTTCATTCTTCCCTTTCAATTACTCTAAACATGTTTTGGTTTGTCGGAAACAGATATGAAGCGTTGGATTGTTTTTGTTTTTGGTCAATTTGCTTTGTTTATTGAGAAATTTTCTCCCATTCTATTTGTTACTATTATTAAGGGTTTAGGGCAAGTTTTTGTTGATATCTTTATTTTTATTGGCAAGTTTGTTTGTAAGCTTGCCAGGATTGTTGATTTCTAGCAGTCACATAAACTAGTAAATGAATGTGTTATTGTATGAGTAGTAATTCTCTTCCCGATGTTGGAACTTGGAAGAGGCCTCAAGTTCGAACCCCCTTTCCTTGTTGATCAGTTTAGTTTGTCGTTATTGGATACATAGAATATAGTGAAGACTTGACGATGGGACAACATGAATTACATGGTGTTGGTCCTATGCCAAGCTTAACAAACACAACAGTAGTGTAAAAATATTCCTCCAAAGCAAAAATGGTAGGGTTTTCGGAATGTGCCTTCCTATCCAAGATATGGATTGCTCCTCCTTGACGCTACCATTTGCTGAGTTCCTTTTTAGATTCTCTAAATATCTAGCTACAAAGTAGAGAATATATAATGTAGCATCCCTAGGGCTAGGGCCTAAGCCTTTAGCTTTTGGCAGTCAAACAAAATGAAGGGAATGGGAATCAAATTACTTACATGCTTCTTCTTCATCTTATGCACTTATGCCCCTTCAACCTTGCCTTGCACAAGCGTCTTCAAGTTAGAACACGAACATGGTGTACAAGTACTAGAATTTCATAAGAATTTAACTTTCTTTATTATTTCAATTGATTGATATTTCGAACCCCCGACTAATGTTGCACTGAATGTTCTGTGGTAGTGATGCGTGCTGGTGCGGGTGGCTCAGTCAATCTGTATGGAGAAAAACATGAAACGGATGATTCGAGGAAGAACCAAAGAGGGAAAAGGGGAAATGGCCGTGTGGATTTTGTTCATCGGCACCCAACAGACAATAGTAGCGCAACACCGGTGCTAGCAAGGTCCCAGCAGCCCTTTCTCCTCACTAAAACCATACTGCAAGTAACCTCTGCTTTGATTCTTGTTCTTCCCTTTCAATTGTTTTGACATGTTACGATCCATCAGAGACATATACTGAATATGCAGGTTTGGTGTGTTTTTGTTTGGTCAATAAGCTTTGCTTTGTTAATTGGGAATTTTTCTCACATTTTCTTTGGTGTTTTCCTGTTAATCCTATCTGTTGTAATTAAGCTTGTAAGTAGATGTGTGCTGATATCTGTTATTTTTTGTTGGTAAGTTCTCAGAAATTGTTTGTAAGCTTGTACCAGGATTGTTGTGCTATATATTCATTTAATCTCTCTCTGAAACAGGACTTCAACATTTTTGCCTCTTCCGCAAATTCAGAAAAAAATTGAGCTCCTTAATCCTAAACCAAAGAACCGAAAAGATATGCGACGATCAATAGCACGAAACATGGTAAATGTATATGACTAGAGCGAGATCACACCAGTAAAAAATAAAACAAAAACAGATCTTTAGGTTCTGCATATATGATTCTGAATTTTCGAGAACTTATATAGCTTCAACACAGACAATTATCCTTCGCGCAACCAAAGAGATATAACAAAATTAAACATTATGTAAATTTAGTATCAATGCGTAATACAATTGTTGTCAAAGTCCTTAGATGCGTACAACTTATGTTCTATATCAGGTCGAGCAAATAGTCAACCGACAAAAGTATACCCAATGGCATTAACCATGTATGAGCAAAAAAGCACTAGGAAAGAAACACGACCACTTTCGAAAATTTATGCAAACCAGATGATGACCGAGCTGGCAGTAACTCAAACCAGGATAAACTTCTCACGCATATCGTTTCCTTACATGTCATATAACAACTTCGAAAAGGATTTCATGTGTTCGGTTTGCAGACAAATGGCCACCGATAAACTCCCATCATTGGTTGCACTTGGAATTATAAACGACAACCCCTCGAATGCAATTCCACCAGGTCCCATGAAAATGGGCCGACCCCATCCAAAGTCGGCATCATGGATTGGCAGCCTAACCCAACTAGTTATCCCCAGGTTTGGACACCTAAAACTATGAGCTCCACGAACAAGGGCAGACAGATCAGGCTGAAGCTCAAGATAGTCGAGGGCAGATCTAAGATAACTATCATCCATACGCACCAAACCATCATGGATACGGCTGGCAGCATACCAAGTTGGTTTTGATTGGATATCCCCCGCGACAGCAATTGGTGTTGTTGTGAAAATCACATTGCCAAAGTAACCAGGTGGGAGTGGTGGTTGCAATCTGGACCTTCCGTCAGTGGCAATATATAGTTTGGTGTCTTGATCATCGGGAAGTTCACGCGCCTTGCATGCACATCTCCAAACATGACCTGACAACATCTCATATGAGCTATAGCTGACTGTATTCCCAGCTTCCTTAGACTTGGATTTCAAGATGTTGAGCTGATCCCGTGTTAATCTAAAAATGGAGACTGTGGTGCTATCCGCAGCACCAGGTTTTGCGCTTTGCAGAGGGGTCTTCATCTGTGGAGCAGGTTGGTATTCAATGTGGTGGAATGCAGGCTGAGGTGGGTCTCGGGCACGAAGCAATGTCCTGTCGATGAATGGTGGAAGTGTAAGGTCAAGACCACGAGCCATATCCGACCATGTGTTAATAAAGTGCAGACCAGAAAATCCATCTGCTGCATGATGCTGCATTCCAACACCAAGTGACACTCCTCCACATTTGAAGTACGTGACCTGCAAAGAGTAAAACCCAAACCATTCCTTGTAAGTTTAACTGTTGAACAATTCCACGACTTCAGTAAGTTGAGGTAAAATGTAAGACGAGGCTGAGGATTCTAAGCAAGATTAGAGATAGCCTGCCTCCAATTGGTCAAACGATTGAAACATTAAATAGTATTAAACATATACTAATATCCCCAAGGAACCAATCAACCAAGTCAAATGGATGACATCTTCAAAACAATCTTCTAAATTTAATCTATTAGTTTTAACCCTTAACCAAGTCAAGCGGATGACATCTTCAAACTATTGATATGTTCGGAACTATTATTAGCATCCAAAAAATCTCATTTTACACTCATCACAAATGTATTTTTTTTTTGTAATTACAGAAAGTTTGGAGTGTCAAATGAGATTTTTGGAATGCTAATAACAATTCCCATAAATAATTAAATTCAATATTTGTCATGATCAACACAAATAATATTTAATCTATTCATTTTCACTTATAAGTGAGAGGTCTTAGGTTCGAATCTCGTGGATGGAGAATTCGATACCAAATTAGGTTATCCATTGTGTGGCTAAACCGAACTCCCTCTCTCCTTAGTGTAAAATATATTGTTGTATTCAAACAAAAAAAATAAAAAAACCTTGGAACCCAGAGTTCGAATCTTGAATCCGGCACTGATAACATACCCTTATTTTCATAATTAAGTATCTTCTTCTATCAGCCTTCATCAACATGGCACACGTCTGATTAAAGATTAGGACCTCTACGTAAATGTGGAAAAGTTCAAATTCAAATCAATAATATAATTAAGAAACCTTATTTAGCCTTAAGAAATTATAACAAAGGAAAATGGAGCAACGTGTACAACGGAATAGGATTCTCTCCTCTCTTATTTGAACGGTCACGATTAAGTCACGTCAACATATTATATTAATTTTATATAGAAAAAAAAATACAAAATAGAGAATGTGAGAGAAAGAGAGAGAAGGGAAAAAAATGAAAAAAGAAAGGAAAATAATCCTAATCCGTGTGCAACACAACTAGTACGTTTTTTCAACACCATATTATAATCTATACACAGTTTGCTCCAAATGTCAACACAGAGATGGTTCACAAGCCATTGCTAGATTGACTTTTCCTCAAGCCAAAAAGTCTCCTACAACATCACTAATCCAAAATCTTACCAAATGATCTCAACTATACCCACATTCTCTAAACTATACATCCACCAGTTGACCATATTAAACGTATGAAACTTAATGAAATGATAATATCTTTCTACGTCTTTTTCAGTTAAAATGGCATCTGAAATTAGTATAACTTCTCATTTTGTTTTTTGACAATGAAATTAATAGAAGTGGTCATTGAGTTTGTTCGCTGTAAATCATTTTGGTCATTCTGTGAAAATATTTGTCGACATCCTCATTAAGTAGAGGAGTTGGTTTTTCAAAAATACCCTTAAAAGGTGGTCACAGTAGTCGTTCGCGTGACAAGTTAACAAGGACAATGGATTATTATGGAACGATGAAAATGATTTATAGTGAAAAAATTTAGAGACCACTTCTATATATTTTTATTGTCAGGATCTAAACTAAAGAATTATGCTAATGTCAAGAATGATTTTGACTCAAATATCTCTTTTCACAAAAGCCAAACTTTTGCACCCCGCTTGTCCAGGTAGATCTTTTCACGTAAGTTTAAAACAATAAAAACGAGACTCATATATATATGTGATGCAAACAAGTATCAAATAAAGCTAATTCCAATTGCCAAAGCGCAGGTAAAGTTGCTACCTAAATTTAAAATTGACATCACTCACTCACACGTGTAATTGTACGTAATCAAAACTCAGAAATTTTACTCTAAAAGAAAACCATTTTAACTGCTAAATTTATCGCAACATGACATAGGCTGATTTAGGTGGGACCTATTACCTACCAATATGATCATTACTAATTTGACCAATTTAAATAAATGTTGGTGTAGCTTCCCAATTAATACCTCCCATACAGATTTCATTTCATTAATCAAACCAAAAAAAAAAAAAAGGTGCTAGTCTGATACTATCTATTTTAACTAAAAATCACATTTTTATATTAAAAAATCAATTCTAGTACTATTTATTTTATCTTTTATTTTATCATTATTGTTAAAATTCAAAGCTTTCAAATCATTTTCATTAGTTTTCGTTCAAAAATAAAAAAATAAACACTTCAATAAATACACGCCCCCGTCTGTCTCTTTTCGTGACCCGATTAGGATCCACAAGCGATGCCGTATTCAAGAGGAGAATGTTGGTGGAGAGCTTCATGTTGGGGGAGAATCCAAATCCATGTCAAGCAGGTTTTTTGTAATTTACTCGTTATGCTGATTTAGGTGGGACCTATTACGTACCAAGAAATATGATGATTACTTATTTGACCAATTCAAATAAAATGTTGGTATAGCTTCCCAATTAATACCTCCAATACAGGTTTCATCTCATTAAACAAACCAGAAAAAGAAAATGTTGGTATAGCTTCCCAATTAATACCTCCAATACAGGTTTCATCTCATTAAACACTTCAATAAATACACGCCGCCGTCTGTCTCTTTTCGTGACCCGATTACGATCCACAAGCGATGCCGTATTCCCTTCTTGTCGACGGAAAACGGGTCTGACCCGTCTCCATCTCGTTGTCGACGATGACGGCGATGTAGAACCCGGATTGGAGTTCGGGTCTGGAATTGAACTGGGCTTCGAAGAGGTCCCAGAAGAGGAGAATGTTGGGGGAGAGCTTCATGGAGCCATGCTTCTTCCTGAAGAGAAAGGACTTGGGTGGAGGTAGAAGGAAGGGGAGGAGAGCAACGGAGGGAAGGGGATTCGAATGAGTGGCGGAGGCAGTTAAGGTGGAGGGAGCAACAGGTGGGGAGGTTGGGGAAGAAGAGTGAAGGCGTGGGTTTGTAGGATGGGTCCCCTATTTTTTTGTTTTATGAAAATAAAATTTAATAGTTAATTAATTTTTTAATCCAAATAGGCTAAAAAGTGGATCCCGCTTAAGTCACGTTCGTATTTAATAAACAAATCAATAGAAAATTTGACAAATGTCAAGTGAATTTGGATCCTCTTTGACGCAATTAATTGGGATCCTCTTGATCAGTGTTAGTAGATTGTTGAATTTTTATCCAACGACTACAAACATAGAATCCTCTAAAAGTTATAATAATTGCAACCGTTGGATAAAAATTCAACGGCCCACTAACACTGATCAAGACGATCCGACCAATTGTCTCGGAGAGAATCCAAATCCATGTCAAATAGCTTTTTTGTAATTTACTCGTAAATTTACTAACCACAACATGACATATGCTGATTTAGGTGGGACCTATTACCTACCAAGAAATATGATCATTACTTATTTGACCAATTCAAATAAATGTTGGTATAGCTTACCAACTAATACCTCCAATACAGTTTTCATTTCATTAAACAAACCAGAAAGTGCTATAACTTCCACGACAACACTGAAAACGACCACCCGAAACACTATAAAAAAAATTACACACTTAAAAAGTAAAGAGTAATCTTTACTTTTGTAAGTTAGTATTGGGTTTAATTTATTTAGTTGGGTTTGAACATTTAGAGCATCTCTAAATGAGATGTTAAAATATCCAAATCAATCATAATGGTAACAAAAGATCGCATTAATATTTTCCAATCGAAAAGCCAAATTTGATGTGGCATAACATGAATTGACATATCTCACCCTTGCTGCCAAATTTGACAGCACCTTCATATTTTTTTAATTAATTATTAAATGCTTTTTATTAATTTTTTATTGGTTTAAACCATTATCCTTTGTTTCTTTTCATTTCCAATGCAAAAAAAATACATATAAATTATTATTTTATGTTTAAAATTTGACCTATCGGTTGGAGATTAAAAGTTTAAAATATGCCAAAATGCCACATAAGCCTTCAAATTTAAATTTTATGTTTAAAATTTGACATCTTCTTTGAAGATGGTCTTATTGGTTATATACGTCACCTTCTTTTTATTATTTTTTATTAAATTATGATAAGTGTCATCTCTTATTTACAAATTTATTTTTACTCAATTTTAAAATTAAATATTAAAGCACTTTTTTTTAGTCCTATTCTGTATCTCAAATTTTTTTTCCTTTACAGATTAATTGTGTTAACTAATCTATGTTGTAGTACTATATATATCAGCATATATAATAGCATGAATTTAGAAATGCATGGAACAGGCAATTTCTTTGAACTATTTTCATGAATGATAGGTATATTAAATTTTATTTATTTTCATAGATACCTCTATCAAATATTAAACGCAATTTATCACATTTAGTATAGATATCATATATGATGACATATAAATTTTCTTATATTCAAATTAAAATTTGAATAAAAATAATTAAATTAAAAAACTAGACTATTTCAGCAACTCCTCAAATTTTTGCAACTGGATCAAAATACCGATAAGTAAATTACCTGTAACAGTAAGAGAGGATAAGTCGAAATCCCGGCGGCGTAATCAACGGAGGGGATGAGCTTCCGGAGCTCCAGCGTGGGAGCGAAATCCCCGAAATCATCGATGACGGAGCCCGTCTCCGCCTCAACAAACAGAACACCCTGGCCGCCGCAGTCAATCTCGATACGACCGTCGTCGTCGCGCTTAAGCCGCCCCGCCATAGGGTAGAACGGCACAAGAGCCTTGGACAGAGCGTGCTTGAGCACAGCCGGGTCGAAGAAGTTGGACGCACCGTTTGGATTCGGCCTGTAGAAATATACGCTGGGCGTGTGGATGCTCGGAATCACCAGGTCCACGTTCGAGTTCCACAGCGCCTTCTTTGGCGTCTCCTCCGCCGGCTTAACCAACGTTGACTCCCTCACGGTAACGTTGACCACCATGTTCGCGCTTCGTTGGGCCCCGCCTGGCACACCTGCATTGCACCCCAGCAAAACACTGTTATAATAATATATTCCCTCCTCGGCTAACGTGCGCCGTCCTTGGTGGTATTTAATTTAATTTTTTGAAAGTAAAAAAAAAAAAAAAAACAAAACATTCTCAGGCATTCCTTTTTCGAATATATTTTTCTTTATAAATAATACAGGGATACACGAACCTAGCCGTCAGGGCTAACGGGCTTGCCGGATTTAATTAAAGTAAAAAAATCCCATTTCTTTCCTTTCTCACGTTTTCCGTTAACGTCCGCCGTAGTTTTCAAAAAAGTGGCGTCGTGGTCAACATGCGCCGTCGTCTAACGTTAAAAGATGAAAGAAAACAAGGAACGATGTAATTACCTTGTAATGTAGGGTTTGTGATACCGACGTACTTTAGCAGAGGGAAGGCAGAGAGAGTTGAGAGAGAGAGAGAGAGAGAGATTTGGGAGTTGGGAGAGAAAATGAAAGGAGAAAGAGGAAGAGTGGTTATTAAGTAAGGACGAGGGAGGGGAGGGGGTAGGTGACGCTTTCCAACTAAGTGGATATAATCTCGAGCGAGCGCGCAGGAGCGAAGCATCTGTCACTCACCTACCGTGTGACCCAACTTTGGCCACTCACAACATGCCACGTCAAATTGCAATCCTTGCCCACCCCGGCACAGCCCTTTCCCCATTTCTCTATTTTTGTTGCAAAAGGAAAAAAAATGTGGGTTTAATTTGCTTTAGAACACACCTTACTATTAGGGTATAGTGATATTTATCTCTATTTGTAAGTAAAAGGTTTTAAATTCAATTCTCGTTAAAGATGAATTTAAACCACATTATTGTTAGCTTATTATGAGACTACATTTATCCCCTCCCGTATAAATAATATGGTTTTTTTTTATTTAAAAACGAAAAAAAAAAATTTGCTTTAGGACGAACGTAAGTGATGCTTGGAGTTGGTGGGTGACACTGTACCTTTCGGTTTGTCTAGGTTGAAAGTAATGCAAGAGTAGAGTTGGTAAGATGGTGACCTATAATATTCTTTTTTTTTTTTCTTTATATTTTGAAAATACATCAAGAGGCAAAAGAAAAACAAAACAAAAATAAATAAATAAATAAACATAAGAGAGGTCTTTCTTCTAGCTTTCCTTGAACTCCTACCGTCCACCAACTTTCTAATACCTGGTAAACATTAAAGGACTTTAAACAATGTTCAATTAATCTATACTCCTGCTTACAAGTTCAATTCTGACCTGAAGCCCTTGATTGTAAGGTTCTTTTTTCAACCCTATGATATATGACATTTCTTCATTCACACGTACCTCCTTGTACATGACGAAATTCCTAATCTGCACTTGGACAATTTTCTTTTTGAGATTCTATGACATGTTAATAATACAACATGACAAGTTTCTTCCATTTCAAAATATTAATAATAAGGATAATGCTTGTGTTCCATCTACGGATAACCCACTTATTCCCCCACTTACCATTAATGTATGTTCACTCTAAGAATTAGAGCAATTAATAGTCTTTATCATCATCTAAAGATTATATCTGCAAAAAATCAATTTGGAGATCTTTTAATCATTCTTATCGATCAAACAAATGGACGGCTCATCAAGAGGAATTTATTTGTTGCCAAAACCATCAATGGTCTAACACGTATGAATGACTAAACAATTTCGAAATTGAATTATTTTTTTGCAAATATGATATTTAGATGCAGATAAAGAGAATGAACGGTTCTTATTATAATGTTCCCAAAGTGAACATACGTTAATTATAAGTAGAGAAACAAATAGTTTTCCCATGAGAAGAACACAAGCAGTATCCTAATAATAATAACAATAACAATAATAATAATAATAATAATTTCCTTCACATGGTGTTGTACAACATGTGATATTCGAAATAGTCCTCTTAACATCTCTCTATAGATTTTCATTGTCAAGATCCAAACAAAAGAGTTATGCTAATGTCAAGAATGATTTTGACTCAAATATCTCTTTTTACAAAAGCCAAACTTTTGCACCCCGCTTGTTCATGTACATCTTTTCACGTAAGTTTAAAACAATAAAAACGAGCCTCATATATGTGATGCAAACAAGTATCAAATAAAGCTAATTCCAATTGCCAAAGCGCAGGTAGAGTTGCTACCTAAAATTTAAAATTGACAGTCACTCACACACACGTGTAATTGTACGTACTCGAAACTTAGAAATTGTACTCTAAAAGAAAACCATTTTAACTGCTAAATTTATCACAACATGACATAGGCTGATTTAGGTGGAACCTATTACCTACCAAGAAATATGATCATTACTTATTTGACCAATTCAAATAAAATGTTGGTATAGCTTCCCAATTAATACCTCCAATACAGATTTCATTTCATTAAACAAACCAGAAAAAAAAAAAGTGTTATTCTGATATTATTTATTTTAACAAAAATTCATATTTTTATATTAAAAAATGAATCCTAATACCATTCATTTTCAAACCATTTCCATTTATCATAAACAAAAATAAACACTTCATTAAATACACCCCGCCGTCTGTCTATTTCCTAACCCGATTACGATCCACGAGCGATGCCGTATTCCCTTCTTGTCGATGGAAAACGGGTCTGACCCGTCTCCATCTTGTTGTCGACGACGACAGGGATGTAGAACCCGGATTGGAGTTCGGGTCTGGAATCGAACTGGGCTTCGAAGAGGTCCCAGAAGAGGAGAATGTTGGGGGAGAGCTTCATGAAGCCATGCTTCTTCCTGAAGAGAAAGGACTTGGGTGGAGGTAGAAGGAAGGGGAGGAGAGCAACGGAGGGAAGGGGATTCGAATGAGTGGCGGAGGAAGTTAAGGTGGAGGGAGCAACAGGTGGTGAGGTTGGGGAAGAAGAGTGAAGGCGTGGGTTTGTAGGATGGGTCCCCTTTTTTATTATGAAAATAAAATTTAATAGTTAATTAATTTTTTTTAATCCAGTTAGGCTAGAGAGTGGATCTCATTTAAGTCTAGTTTGTATTTAATAAACAAATTAATAGAAAAATTGACAAATGTCAAGTGGATTTGGATCCTCTTTGAGGCAACTGATCAGGATCCTCCTGATCAACAATTATTATAATTTTTAGAGGACTCTCTGTTTGTAATCGTTGGATAAAAATCCAACAATCCATTAATACTAATCAAGAGGATCCACTAATCCAAATCTATAATAATAATTTCCTTCACATGGTGTTATACAACATGTGATATTCGAAATAGTCATCTTAACATCGCTCTAAAGTTAATATCAAAGAAAACTCTAAATCTTAACACAAGCAATTTTGTATTTCGACTAAGAAGAAGATTCAAGTTAATATTTGGTATTTCTCAAACCAAAATCCCAAATATTGGTTTGCACTTCGACATATAATTACAGTCAATTTTGCACTTGGTTTGTAATTTTTCTTTTACGTTATTATTATGCTACTATTTTTTCAACTCGTTTTGTACCTCGACATATAAGACAATCTTCAAGGGTTGAACTTAGGACAATAGAAAGAAGAAGAAAAGAAGAAATAGGGTGTTGGTGGGTGAGAACCAAAATCACAAATCACACAACTAGAACGAAAAATCCCAAAATTAATACGTTTCATAAATAAGACGTCACATACCAAGCATTGAAACCCTTGCCAAATCTAAAAGAAAAAGAAAGAGAGTATTAGACATAGGACAATAGAAAGAAAAAGAAGAGAAGAGAGGAAAGAGGGTGTTGGTGGGTGGGACCCAAAGCTAAGAGTATTGGCTCCCACTATGTTTGAACTTTCATATCCCCGGTTTCCATTGGAGGTTGGGGGTTGGATTGCGGACGGAGAGGACACATTTGGACACATGGGATGATGGGAGTAGAAGAAATGAGGAAAACGGAACGGTTGGGGTTTCGACGTTATAACGGTGGTTGGTGGGTCTGTTAGTTGGGGGTAGCGTCAGCGTGACTGAATATTTCTGGATAAGGATCACAAAATGTAATGAGGGGCTTTGGATGTGCATTGGGATTAATTACTTATTTATTAAATAATTACGATTTATTTTATTGATAATGTGCGTTTGGGAAAGTCAGAAAGTAGACGCTGCCCTGCTTCTGCTTCTGGAGTTGGTGAGGCCTCTCCTTTTGTCGGTGGGTTGGGAAATAGAATTCAGGTTCTTCCGTTCTTGTGCTTGGTGGTTAATTTCGACTTAAAATTAAAAGTTATAAAGTTATATTTGACTTCAAATTTGATTTCAAAAGTTATATGATCTTTATTAAGGATACTATTGTAAATTCATCCTCAAGGGATAATACTTAGAGACTAAGGAAAACTGTTAGTTTGTTATAGTTTTATTTTCTCTTAGTTAGAAAGGGTTGTGACTTGCTTTTGGCTCACAACTAGTATATATACTCATACTGTCTCTCAAGGTCCTGTTGCTCAGTTTTCTTCATCTTTCAACAATTCCAGTCGTGGACTGGATCGTAATTCTAATCGGAGCAATCAGTATAATCGGGGTAATTTCAGGCAATCTAATTCTCAGAGGTTTTCCCAATTTCATCGAGGCAATAATCAGAGGTTCAATCGTGGTGCTCGCCCTAATTTTTCATCCACCCGGAAACTCTCGTGTCAAATCTGTCGCCAATCTGATCACGAGGCCTGCACTTGTCCTCATCGCATGGATCCTCACTATAATACCAAGTCCTCTCAATCGGCTTTGGCTGCCAGCACCTCCAATCCTTCTTCTTCTCCGTGGATTGTCGACTCCGGTGCCACCTCTCACATGACCAACAACTATGCCACGCTCCAGAATCCTGAAGCTTACACAGGCCCTGAACAAGTGTATATTGGTGATGGCAAAGGTTTGCCTATCACTCATTCTGGCTCTTCTCTTCTTAATGCTTCTCCTAGTAACTTTGCACTCAAATCTGTGTTGTATGTGCCTGCCCTGAAACACAATCTTCTGTCTGCCAATCGTTTTTTAATTGATAATCAAGTCTCCATGCATCTTTATCCATCTCACTTCGTTGTGAAGGATCTTTCTTCGGGGAGGATGCGTTTTAAAGGTCCTGTTCAGCATGGATTCTATCAGTTTCCTCCACATTCTTGTACTACTGCCAGGCATCTCGCTCTCACTGCTGCTCCCAAAGCTTCCAGGACTCTTTGGCATGAACGATTGGGCCATCCTTCTGTTGCAGTTCTTAATAAGCTGGCTTCCAGCTCTGGTATCTCTATGTTACAGAATAAGAGCACTTCTCTTTGCTCATCTTGTATCTTAGGCAAAAGTTCTCGGTTGCCATTTGTTTCTACTACTAGTACTACAAAGAAACCCCTAGAACTA